CGATCCACCAGTGATGTCCGCCATGGGATCAGGAGAGGAGAAAGGAGCATGCACGCTATTTACTTGTCTATTTGGTGGCAGATATGAACCTGTCACAAAGAACACTTTTTTCTTCCTCTCTCAAGACCTTGACTGCATAGCTTTGAACACCAGCTCTCTCCCACTTATTAGCTGCATGAGCTTGGGCAAGTCACTTAACCTCTCTGTGTCTTAGTTTTCTTAGCTGTAAATTAGGAATAACAGTAGGCCTACCTTATAGGATGTTTGTGAGGATGAAAGGAGTTTAATTATGTAAAGCATTTTGAGCTATGCCAGGCATACAGCATTTTAAGACTATGTAAGTGTTAGCTATTATTGTTGTTATTATTATATTTTATTATTTCCTTACCATTGACTTGTGAAGGGTAAATTACATCCCCTGGCCACATTTTCCTCTTTTGTGAAATGGACAGAACAAAAACACAAGAGAAGATGCAATGAACTAGGGTGTGGGAGGAATCTAGGGCCCCCACCCAGCTACTCTGCAGGAAGGTCAGAGTCTCCCCCATTGCCCTGGACCAATCAGGGTACGTCAGGCTAACAACCCTCACGCCCTCTCTTCTTTAAAAGAAGGGATGATCTTCTCCATGATTTGTGAGAAAACCCAATACAATTAGATGAGCAACTTGAATGTAAATGCGGCATCGATTGTCACTGAATAATCAATAGCCACGTGTGACTGATCTCCCCGGATTTGAACTGGGAGGTTCCAAATCATCTCTGTGAAACATGGGTGTTAAACCCTGTGGTGTCAGAGTCAGACGATCCAGCACAAGGGTGGGCCTTTGACCTTGGGCATGTCAACTACCTGCTCCAAGTTTCCCTTTCCCCACGTGAAAAAATTCCTTGTGATTGCAGCAATTACATGAAAGAACATTCTGAAAATGCTTTGAAAGCTCTCCCACCCCATACAACTGTCAGGTATAAAAATGTCTTTCTGATCTCACAAGGTGCAGGAAGGAAGAACTACCATCTACATTTCTGTCGTGCTGTCACAGAACAGGAAACCACCCCACAATTAGGCCCCTTTTGTTTATTTAGAACCCAAGACCTTCCTAAAGATGAATTCTGCTCTGTGGTCAATAATGCCGTAGAGATGTCACAGTATATTCATTTTGATTCGTAATGTTTTTTACCTAATGGTATTTTGATACATATACTCTGCTGGATTTGGTTTTCTTTCCCCTTGCTAGCTCCTCTTTGGCGGCTCTGAATGCTATTTGGCCTAAATGCTATAATTTGGTCGCCACTTCCAGTTGAGAGGTGGTGCCCCAAGGACCATTTCCAAATGGGGAACCTAGCAATTCTGTGTATTTAATAAGAAAGGTTTGAGATACACGGATAAGGCAGAGATGGGAGAGCCAGACAACCTGTCCAGCAGGAAAGTTCACAGATAGTGGCAGAGCTTCCCCATCAGGGTGCCATGAGTCGGCCACTATTGGGGGGAGATGCTGAGCCCCAAGACCAGTTGCCCCAGCCTCCACTCTGCTCCTGTACAAACAGTATCACTTTCTGTGTGTGTCTTGCCCTGAAGGTCAGGAGCACAGTCCAGTGGCACAGGGTGTATAGTGTATATTTCGCAATCTGTTTCCTTCAATTTTCCAGCCAGTCTTTACCCCCTGCCCCCTTCACAAATGAGGATCCTGGAGTTTGAGAGAGGGTATGTGACTTCTCCAAGGCCATGGAAAATAATTAGAGGGGCCAAGCCAGGCTCCCAAGCCTTCTCTTCTTTCTCTTCTAGTCACCTCTCTTTCTTTTCTCCTTTCTTCCCTCCTTCCACCCTTTGTTTCTGCTTTTTAATAAGTTACATGCATATTTTAATTTGAGAAGAGTAACATAAAAAGAAGCAAAATCTACTTTTGTTCATTTTTTTAGTGGAAAATTTGAAAAGCAGACAAATAACGCCCAACCTACCAACATCCAAATATAAGTAAAGCTGATTCACATTTTATCATTTTTACTCTGTTCCTCCTGCCCTCGTTTTTTGCATGTTTGGTGGTTGTGGTCCTTGTTTTGTCCTGTTTTTACCGCTTTAAATATGCTGGATATAAAATAAGTTCGTATTTTACTTTTGTAACTTAGTATTGTGACTTCCATATTTGCCCATATTGCTTAATTTTTGTAGACATCGTTTTAATAGCCAAGTAATATTCCTTGATAATAGTCTGTCTCATGGGTAAACTATGGATAAGTGTTGAACATTCAAGTTCAAATTTTCTGACTGTCATTTCTTTACTACTCCCACTGTGCCATTCTCTAGAATCTATACTCTATTTTATCCCAATTGTACCTGAAATTCTTGATGTCGTATCATTCAAAGCCAATGGTCAGGTGATTAAATGACACAAATAGAGTCTTT